ACAGATGGCTGTTTTGGCAGCGGATGGTTATTGCCGTTATCCACAAGTGGCCAGCTATTGAATGTCCTATCGCTGACTATTCACGGCTAACGCCGGCTGCAGAACGTTCTATCGCGGCCATTCGTGGCTATCGCTGGCTGTAGAACTTTCAACGCCGGCTGTAGAACTTTCTCTCGCCAGCCATACGTGGCTATAGCCGGCGATTGAACGTTCTATCGCTGGCCATTCGTGGCTATAACCGGCGATTGAACGTTCTATCGCCGGCCATTCGTGGCTATAGCCGGCGGTTGAACGTTCCATCGCCGGCCATTCGTGGCTATAGCCGGCGATTGAGCCTTCTATCACCGGCCATTCGTGGCGATAGAGCTTTTTATCGCCGGCCATAAGGGCGATAAGAAAATCCTATCGCCAGCTATAAAAGCTATAGAAAATCCAACAGACGGCCATAAGATTTCTCTATCGCCTTTATGGCTTATTTTTACCAGGGGTCATTTTGACCGGAATTCCTCGTTATAAGAAAAAGGGTGGCATATTTTATAGACATGTGGTATGCGATACATGTCTGGCTAAGTATCTTTAGCTCCTACATTCAAGAATTACTTTGGCTTATCTCAATCATGCATTAATTTCCAGCAAATCAAATTTTCCAAGGAAAATTCATTTTTAAATAATCCCAATTCGCCTGGAAAATGGCGGAGACAGGGAAAAACCAAGGTCATTGTGGACCCAGGGCTGAATATTCCACGAGATTCCGCGATTAAAGCACTAACTTTTTTTTGGTGCATACTTGTGTAGTCCTCCATATTCAACAGCGGACCAGTTTTGCGTCATTTTTAAACTTCCTGCGTGAAAAATTGTATCCTGAGTTAAGGAATTCTATGGAACAAGGGTGTATGCTCAAAAAAGTAGTTCCACAGAAACCGCTTTTGAAAGTTCAAAAGTGTATAGCGCTGGTTCTATAGTCAATATCTTCGCACGAAATTTAATTAATTTAAAAGAACAAGTCCTTGAGAGTATACTTGCAAGAACGGAACATTGTGACTACATTCCCCTATGATTCCTATATGATAACGTGGATCGCTGTGTAAAAAAAAGGGGGGGGACTTTTTAGTACACTATGTATATTCCCTAAAACTAGGAAGAATCCAGTTTCAGTAAATGCGTTCTCCCGAAAAAGGGCGGATGCGGGCATACGCCTTTGTCCCAAAAAACTCCATGTAAGAGTAGAATCAAATAAGTTGTGCTCTACCATGTCTCCCGACTTTTTAGCCCTTCAAAATGGAAAAATCTTACCTTTTTTTAAATTTGTTCAAAATTTTACGCTTAATCAGATCCCAACATCGTTTTAGGCAGTTTTTGCCATTTAATATCAGAATTTTGGCCCTAAACAGCTGAAATGTCCTGTACCGTAGCCTGTCTGCGACTCAAGTGCGCAACTTTAACGCTTCATAACCATCATCTTGCATCTAAATACTTCCACTTCTGCTGTAAATTCACACTCAACTTGTACCTAACTTATTATTTTCAGTTATATTTATCCAAATAAGTGAAAATATTGACCGTCTTTGCGTCAAGCAGCCCTGTCTGCGGAATTCGCGTCCTGTACCGTAGCCCCCTTTTTTCAGCATCATTTCGTCCGTTAGAGTGCAGCACTTATGAACTTTGTTTACTTTTTTTTTGCGTTATCGTGACTATCACACGCTGATGTCGAGCAGAGGAAAAAAAACCGCAATGAAACAGTAAATTTTGACCGTTTTTATGAGTTTCTAGGTTTAACGACCATCTAGGATGTCCTTACCGTATACCTACCTTTTTAATGCATAAATCACTTCAAACTCTCGAATTTTGGTATTTTTTGATACGCTCTGATATCTTAAACTCAAATCCAGAATTTCAACCACATGCGTGAATATGCCCCAGCACCGTTGCCAATAATCACACGATTTGTCCGCACCGTAGCCGTCCGTACCAGCCCGTAGCCGTCCGGTACCGTAGCCCGTAGCTGACGCGCGATGCGGCCGGGTCTACGGTAAGTACGGACAAAATGCGAAAGTCATCCAAAAATCGGTGCGCTGTTTGATAGATCATCCCACTTTACTTTATTTTATCTATCACTAAAATTTGGACTTTAAAAAAAAAAGAGAGGCGTATTTTTTTTTAGTACGACGCGACTTAGAAGAAGGAGGCTTTTTTTTCGATGATTGCATAAGGATCGCCATCTTTTTATTTTTTTCATTTTTTCTTTTAGAACTTTGAGTCCTCTTTTTCGTCAGAAGTTCATAGCAATTTATTCGTTTAATATTTATTCGTTAATATCTAACTTATTTTTTTCTTATTGTCCTTTAAATATTTATTTAAGGTGATTTGTGACCACATTTTCGATAATTTTACCTTTTTGTTTTCTTTCTTATTTTGTAAAAGTGCACCTAAAACGTTCTAACGTTGTCAAGCTTGTATTAAGAACTCAGCTTCTAAGATTTGTCCCTAATTATTTAATGCGTTTATTTTAAAATAAAAGCAGTTCATTATTTTTAAAAAACTGATTTACTTACTCTTTTTACCTTTATTGTCTGTAATTATTTATAAAAGTGGCACTTATAAGCTATGCTATAACTTAGTTTATTCCCCAAATGAAGTTCAGTTCTTTATAATTCGGCCTTTGCATACAGTAATATTTACGAATGCCTCTTCGTCCTTACCGTAGCCCGTTTGTCCGTACCGTAACGTTATTGTCCTGTACCGTAGACCAGTAAAAAATTGTACAATTTGTAGCTTTAAAAAGAGCAAACCTGTAGAAATTCTTAAAAAAAGTTGTCTACCACATCTTCTAAGTTAGTTCTAAAGAAATTAATTAAAATTATAGCGTTTAATTACATTTCCTGGCTTTTTTAGGAGAAAAATGATGGCGCGGCGCAAAATTTTAGAAATCGGACTTTAGAGCAATTTGGAGCCCAAATTTTGAAAGTAAAAACTTTGAAGGATATTTTGTTTTATTCTTCTACAAGAATGTAGCTCTATGAGTGCAAAAAAACTTAAAACGGTATTATTATCGCACGTATTGATAGGAAAACAAGCCTGTTTAGTTGGTCTACGGTACGGACAAAAAATTTAACTTCCAGTGATAAAAGAGGCCACAAAAAAATTTCTGTTGAAAACGAAGATTGACCACTATTAAAATCGACTTTCCAAGAGTATGAGGACTTCAGAAAACATGCTGAAGTTTTAAAATAACTAAAGTCACTTTTTTAAAAAACGATGGCTCCAAGAGCAAAACTTATTTTATTCTACTCGTAACCTACCGGCGCGGTGCCTAGAAGAAAAAATCAGTCGCAGCTTATGAAATTTTAGCTCTATTTTCGAGTGACCGTGGTTTTGCTCTGTCTATTATAGTTTGCACCCATAGATGCTTGTTTGAGGGATATTTTCTTGAAAAAGTAGCAGATTTGTCAATTGTTCATGTGCCTCCGTTTTCCTCGTTGGCATGAGATGAGATAGGTCCAGTCAGCACCCGATATCTCCAAGACGCGCCACGCCGCGCTACGCCTCGTCGCACAGTTTACATTTGATTTGGAGCGCCCTATGAGCAAAACTAAATTCGTCGATAGTACAAGCAATTTCATTTAAAGTCAATTTCGTAAATACAAGTCTCTACTAAGTGTCTGCGGAGCGCAGACATAAAATTATTTTCATTCATAGATTTTCTAAGAGACAGGGGAAGCTCTTTAAGGAATTTCAGTCCTCTTTTGAGGTGAGAACCCTGCAGTCCTCTATCAAATCTGTCCGTGGTGTTGTAGGAATGGGTTTGCATCGCGACCTTGCCACTTTTAAGATGAGTCCTGTGTAGAGCCTGATTTCTTTCCAGATAATCAGGGCTGGCAATGTTAACATGCCCTGCCAGGGGAACGATATGTGATCACGCAAGCTCCCAGGGTAATAACATGTGATCACATTTGTTCCAAGGGGAATGGACAGGGTAGCCCGTGTGCTCAACTGGAAGCCGACATGTGAACCGTGTGCTCCTATGGGAGCGGACATGTTACCCATGTGTTCCTATTGGAGTGTACATGCGACCCATATGTGCTCTGGAGGGACCTCCCACGGTGTCTCGTGGATCATCATAGAACTTCAGGAAAAATGGCACGGGACCATGTATGACTGCAGCCCACCATGCAGGTACAGTGGAGCATCAAAGAACTATATTCATGGGAAATGCATACAGGGCCCATAAACAGGAAGCTACATATACCCAGGATGCATTATAAAATTCTGCGACAACTGCAAGAAATGATGTCGATTTGTTATTTTTTTTTAAAGCAAATTCAATCGGAGCGGAGGTTAGGGTATCGAACATCTCCATTGAGATACGTGGTTTCAGGCTTATACCGTCATTGTATATCTCCTTGAAGAATAATTGTGCTCACATGAGCTATTTCTTCTATACTGAGAGTTCCCTGCTAAAAATGGTGAGTACAAATGAGTAGAAAATCAAAGTCATATGAATAAAATTTCAATTCATGTGAATAGAATTTCAACTCATGTGAATAGAATTTTAACTTATACGAATAGAATTCAACTCATATGAGCAGAATTTCTCTATTCACTTTTTGCCGACTCATAAGACTAGAGATTCCAACTCATATGACTAAGAGATTTCAACTCACATGAGTTCAGCGTTGAATTTACCGTGTCCGATATCTCAGAAACTAGTCACCGCATCAAAAAAATTATAAGAACAAAATGTTCTTATTTTTCAAATTTACTTATCATTTTGGTGTCTCCTGGTCAAAAACACCACTTCTAAAAAGTGAAAAAATTGAATTCATATGAGTTGAACTTTTCTACTCCTATGAGTAGAATATTCTAGTGATATGAGTAGGATTTCTACTCATATAAGTAGGAAATTCTACTCATGTGAGTCGGCGAATTCTGAATAGCCTACTCATCATTTTTAGCAGGTATTTAATTTTTAAACTGATTTATAATAAATAAAATTATTCCAGGTGGTGCAGCTGGTTGAACTGTTTGCTGTGCGACATTCAGTTTTCATAATTGGATCAGCAGGCACAGGAAAGTCAGAGGTTTGGAAGACCCTTTTCAAAACTTATCAGAACCTTAAAATGAAACCTCATTTCAATGATTTGGAGCCCAAAGCTGTGACGAATGATGAGTTGTTTGGGATAATCAATCCAGCTACAAGAGAATGGAGAGACGGTGAGAGATTCTATTTTTAGTTTCCATATAACCGAGCCCCTTCCTGCAAAGCAATATTTTAGCAACATTTGTCAAAACTAACGCTGGGCTTAATCCAACCCAACAAACTGGACGCGTTTTGCGCACCCGTCACGGCTAGCCCAGGCTGCGCCCTCTGAAACCCGCAAAATCATTACGCAAGGGATTTTTCGCCCGCTCTGCGAGCCATTAATCCATTGGTGTTGGACGCTTGATCATCATACAGGATGTCCCAAAAGTCCCTTCCAACCCCTCTAAAATTTTACCTGATTAATATTTTAAAACGAAAAATTGGGTTTGTCAAAAATTGGGATAGATCAATGTCAGCTATTTTTGGGGCCCCCAAAATTCTCGCCCACCTCCTTCATGGGGAGGGGCTACTTGCAGATCCCTCTCGAAAATACTGAATAATTTTGTTTTTCAATCTACTCCATCAATCAAAGAGACCCGAAAAACTGATATTGAATAGTATCTACAGGGTGGCGCAGACCTACCGTACCAGGTCTTTTTTTCGGTTAATTTGGGTCGCACGAAGTCCTGGATCGCGGGGATGAATAGGGAATCGACCCCAAGGAATCCGAATTTCATGGTCTCAGAGCCCCCCTGGCGTCCCTTGGGGGGTAAAAGGGGGGTCCGTACTTCAAAAGTCAGGGTTTATGTCAAAATTTTGAAATTATTTCATCGAAATCAGAACGTACGGAAATATTTAATTTAAATCGACACCAAGAAATCCAAAATCGACCCATTCGTGTCCAAAATACCGACCCCTAAAGTTGGGGGACAGAGCCCCCTTTCAAAAAAATTCAAGTTCGTCAAATTGACGTGGAGACTCGGGAAAAATGTGTATTCATGGGTAATCAACGCCAAGGAATCCAAATTTGAGGGTCCCGTTGTCCTCAGAGACTTTTCTGATGGGGCACAGGGGACTCTGAACTTTTAAATTTAACCGGTGTGGAGGATACCCCTGTGCCGCATCAGAAAAGTCTCTGAGGACAACGGGACCCTCAAATTTGGATTCCTTGGCGTCGATTACCCATGAATACACATTTTTCCCGAGTCTCCACGTCAATTTGACGAACTTGAATTTTTTTGAAAGGGGGCTCTGTTCCCCAACTTTAGGGGTCGGTATTTTGGACACGAATGGGCCGATTTTGGATTTCTTGGTGTCGATTTAAGTTAAATATTTCCGTACGTTCTGATTTCGATGAAATAATTTCAAAATTTTGACATAAACCCTGACTTTTGAAGTACGGACCCCCCTTTTACCCCCCAAGGGACGCCAGGGGGGCTCTGAGACCATGAAATTCGGATTCCTTGGGGTCGATTCCCTATTCATCCTCGCGATCCTGGACTTCGTGCGACCCAAATTAACCATGAAAACAAGCAGTGAACTCCAACACAATGTGTTGATTAGGCGCGTCATTAACTTGCACACATCAACCCCTTTAGTTTTCATTTACAGACATTTCAAAATAGGCAAACAGCACAACAAGAGAATTCACGATCCAACCCTGCGAGGTCAAAGACGCACCTTGATGAGACCGTGTATTGTGAATGTAGAAAGCCATTCGATCGAATTTAAGTTTTTTGATCTACCTCAAGCAAAATCTTATCAGATTCTTGAAGAAAAGTGCTACGGAATAATTGAAGCGAAGAAAGGAAAAATTCTGTTGAACTCCTAGAAGATAAAGTCGATTCAAAGGTATTTTGGGGTTAAAATACCCAAATCACCGGTAGTATAAATCCCGTTATATTATTGATAAGAAATGACTCGATATAAATGCAATTGCTTTAAATATGTCTTGATTTTGTTATTTTAAACGTTTTTCCATGCAAAGAAGTTCAACGATGTCCACGCTTTATTCATTCATGAATTGAAAATAAGCAATCTACATCCCGAAAATCTACTGATTTGCCGTAAAAAATTGCAGAAACTTGATATACCAGGTCGATGCACCCACTCGTTGAATTTACCAACCAATTTCGTGAGAGCAAATGTGTGAAAATCAATATGCTATAGTCATTTTCGGTGCACTTATTTTTCATGAAACAATAATAATTTCAATCCCGAAAAACCATCAATTTTCCGTATAAAATCGAAAAAATCAAAATATGTCGACTCCTCGACGTGAAAATTAGATTCTACGTGTGTAAATACTCATGTATCGATATGCTGAACAGAAACTATGTGTGGACACAGTCAGAAGCCCGCGGCATTATTAATTCAACAGAAAAACTGTAAAAATTGGATCGGATTTTAGCTGCTTTGCCCGCCTCTCCTCGTTACTTACAACAAACCGTTCTTATACTCATCTCAAAATTTTTCTCAGAGCTTTGGGTTATTATCAGCTTCCAATTAAACTCCGGTTCGATGGCCGAATCGGCTGCCAAAAAAGCAAGCCACTGTTGAAATGTTCTATGAGAAATTCGTGATATTATCGGCTCTTAGGAAATCACCCCATGGCTAAAATTGGTGGTATAAATGTTAGTGTGCTTAAAATAATCGTATTCAAGAAACTAAAGAAATAAACTATGTAATCAATTTATTTTTAATAATATAACGGGATTTACTACCGGTGATATAGCTATTATAGCTCCAAAATAGGTACTTCTAAAGCGCCTTTGCGTTTCAGAATCTCGACGGAATTTTTTTTTTTTTTTTTTTTTTTTTGGCTTAAACGATTCAAGAGACACTGTAGTCAAAAATATACAGATTTTTCGATTTGGACGTATAAAAAATGTTTAAATCGTTCAGGATCACCGTGTATTGTATGGAGTACTGCTGTTATTCGACCCTTGTCTTCAGGTCAAAATTCTTACAAAGAAGCCCCTTGCAAGAGGCGAATTTTTTGTAATTTCTCCCAGTTTTTTCACCGTTAGGTATATAATTGAATTGCTTGTCAAATTCTGAGGTCAATTATATTTAATTGTAATTTATACATTTCTTTTTTTCCCCTTCGTTTTATTTTTTGTATCGAGAAGTCGAGGGTTTTTTGATTTCTTCGGATTTCGATTACTGTAACTTCTCTTCTATTCGGCCGATTTTTATGAATGAGACCTCTTTCAATTCGTCTTTGAACGGAAAGGAAGGAAAATATTGCTAGGTACTCGCGAAACAATTTTTTCGAAAATTTGCTGGATTCCAGCTTGACGGTGAAATGGGTAGGTAATCGAGTGGAAATAATTAGGTCTGACTGCGGCGAGGGCCGCGAGGGTCGCCTTATTGTTCTTCAGCTGGGAGGCCACGCGGCGAACCGAGCCACGATCGGGACACTACCTGGGTTTCTGCCTGCCTGTGCACTGTTTTGGCCCGATAGGGGAGTGAATTTCTGTATGGGCCACGGTTAGCACATGGTCTAATGAGTCTCAAGGCTCATTACAGATTGCACTTACGGGTATCTTGGCTGGTCCAGGCTATCAGAGCAGGGACACCAACTTTTGAAAAGTATAGCAGGGGTATGGAGATCTGTCAAAGCAACGTTTTGAACAAAACGGAGTGAGTGAAATTCTCATTCTTAAAGTGCCGAACTGGTCAGTCATTCTCGAATCAGTTCGCTTGCTTCCGCTTATATACGCATATTTTAAATCAGCGCGTCGTACTCTTAGGCTTTTTATAAAAAAACCAAGTAACGTAGACTCTTGGTATTCACTGCACGTAAACTAGAGAGCCCCTGAAAGAGAAACAACTCTAAATCATAATTATTGACGGACAAATAAACTTTTTACACGCCTTGGAAAATCTTAGAAGTTCGCGGTAGTCACTTTTCGATAAGGAACTAAGGGACTCGGTTATTGTATCGAGCAGGGTTCAAAACGATCGCAAAGGCGGTATACTATGTATACGCGCCAAAACACCTGGTACGGTAGGTCTTGGTCACCCTGTTTATTATACAGGGTGTTCGAAAAGTCCCCTCCCCCCCCCTCTAACTTTTTAACTAATTGAGGTAGAGATTTGAAACTCAAAGGGTGTTCCTAGATCAAAGGGAGCTACTTTTTGACCCCCCCAAAATTTTGGGGGGCCCCATTTTGGGGGGGTTACGGACCCTAACTTTTAATTTTCAAATAGGAAGACCCTCTCTGTGATACCTCGTTCGTAAGAGCATAAAAAAAGAAAATTTTTCGCGCAAACCGGAAGTCATTATCTCAAACCGTTTCAAAATGGCGGCCGGTCAAAGTTCCAAATGGCCGAAAATTGGCACCTCTGCTATTTGCACATGGATTTGCTTGAAACTCGGTATCTGTCGGTATTTTGGCACGAGAAAAACGAATTTAACGTTAGATTTTCAAAAAAACCCTAATTTTTCAAAATGGCGACCGGTTTAAGCTCAAAAAGGCCGAAAATTTGACAAACTCGATTTTTTTGCCAATGGATTCACCTGAAATTCGGTATCTGGGGGTATTTTGACCCGAGAATAACGAATTCAACGTTAGATTTTTAAACAAACCCCAATTTTTCAAAATGGCCGCCGATTAAAGTTCAAAATGGTCAACAATTGGCAACCTCGACTTTTTGTCGATAGATTCGCCTCAAACTCGGTGTTTGAGGGTATCTGGGTGGGAGACAAACGAATTCGACGTTATTTCACGAAGTTTCAGGCGAATCTATTGGCAAAAAGTCGAGGTTGCCAATTGTTGACCATTTTGAACTTTAATCGGCGGCCATTTTGAAAAATTGGGGTTTGTTTAAAAATCTAACGTTGAATTCGTTATTCTCGGGTCAAAATACCCCCAGATACCGAATTTCAGGTGAATCCATTGGCAAAAAAATCGAGTTTGTCAAATTTTTGGCCTTTTTGAGCTTAAACCGGTCGCCATTTTGAAAAATTAGGGTTTTTTTGAAAATCTAACGTTAAATTCGTTTTTCTCGTGCCAAAATACCTCCAGATACCGAGTTTCAAGCAAATCTATGTGCAAATAGCAGAGGTGCCAATTTTCGGCCATTTGGAACTTTGACCGGCCGCCATTTTGAAACGGTTTGAGAT